TCAGGGAAGGTATGATGGGACCTTGGTGCTATCTATTAGTGTTGGTATTAATTTTCATTGACACTCCATTAATCTTCTGGAGATGTTCTGTTGGACAGTTCCTTTCTAACAATGAGCACATGAGAAACAGAGAAAGCATCAATGATTGTGCCTCCCTAACTGGTATTGGCTGACCCTTGTCCTATGATATGCAGAGCATGTAGGATGTAATACCTGTGGACCAAACCCGTAAAGCCCTAATTTGGACCTGATTCAAATACCATTGAAATTAATGGACTATGAATCAGGTCTTCAGTTTTTACTCTGTCTTTACCCAGGAAACTTTCCAGTAGGGTCAGCCTGCTGGAGTAAGGACCAAATAGTATCTCTCCAGTACAGGCTATAACATGGATGTGTAAAGTGATGCATGGAGCTGGTGAGATTTCTCTGTGTGACAGAGCATGGAAAATCCAAATGAATATAGAAATGCAGTGATAGGATTATAGCGGTGACTTCCAGTAGAATGAAACCCAATTGCATTAGACATAATGGACATGATCTTACAGAGCTGTTGTGAACAGGCACTGCTGAATCCACAGATTCACACAGCTAGTTCCCCAGCACCAGCATATGCTTCTCAATTGTGCCACATCTGAATCACTGAACTAATTTTATATCCTGATATATTTCCATCCTGTGGAAGCCTGGCATCATCTCTCTACTTCTTCATGTAAACTATTTTTGAAAGGTGAACTCTAAGCCCTGACACACTAAAAAAATCTCACAAAACTCTGGACAAGATTCTGTTTTCAGTTACCCTGACTCACAGCCAGAGTAATTTCCTTTTTCAGCACTGTAGAGCTACACCATGAGAGCAAATAGGACCCTTTGTCTCCATTAAAGAAAAAAGTAGGCACATAATAGCAAACTGCTTCTTCCACTGATTTTTGGTATATGCCTCATGACATATGCCACAAAGTCCAGTGGCATCCAATAAAATCATGAAGACCTGGCAGCTTTGCTTTTATGTAACTGCCTTGCCAAACAAGAGTTTCTTAAATGCAAAACCGCAAAACAATCCGATGAATTTAGATGAACAGTAATTAAAGCCTGATAGCTACAAGTGCTGAATAGATATTACCCTACCTGAAGACAATGAGAACTACAAGTGCTGAGCAAAAATCAAATTCAAGGTAAGAAAGGGGTTAATTAGATCATTTTATTGTGTAGTAGCACAGTACTCACAAGTCCCTCCACCTACCTTCTGTCACAGATATAACATTAAAATCTAACTCTTCATTACACTCCCTCCAAATCATTCTGAATAGTTATGAAGTATTAATATAATTCCATTGGCTGGCATGAATGGGAAATGTCTATTCTAGAATCCTCAATGAAGATTTTCTCGGTTCTCCGTATCAATTACACCCTCTGTGGATCCCTGCCACATATCCTGTGCTTGATCTCCATGCCAAATTCCTATTGGCACTGATGGGAATTGTAGTCCAAGATCTAGGACAAAATATCTAGCAGCAATTCCTTTCATGGGGATAGATGACAAATGAATCTGAAAGGAACATTTCTCCTTAAATTTCTAGGCATGACAATGACACAAATTTCCGCTATTTGATTTTAGAGATCAGCAAAACATGCAAACAAGGAATCCCACACACATGCATGCCCCCACACAACCTCTTTCACACTTTTTTTTCCTTAATCAGAGAGCAGTATATTTGGTCTCAGAAATGGAAGCTTGCAGACTGAAGGTATGTGCTCATAAAATGCTTAGGCAACGCAGTGCCCACTATTGGATGTTCCATGTGCTTGTGGAGAGGAAAGAAAGAAACTGGAAGCCAGTTTTGACTAGAATTTGGATCTCAGTTCTAGTCTGTTTTTTCAGATGAAAATGATCTGCTGTTGATTATCTTCTCTCTTGTCCCAGAAGGCTGAGGAGGACACAGGATAATTGTGAAAACTGTAAAAAGTTACTTAAAAGAGGAACATTTTGTACTGTTCCCCATGTCCCCAGGAATAGGACAAAACATAATGGACTTTAATTACAAGGGAGATCCATGCTTGAGATCAGGAAAGTCTTTCTCACAGCAAAAGTAGTGAAGAACTGGAATATATTACCTAGGGAAGCTGTGAAATCTTCATCACTAGAAGTTTTTTATGAGCAGGTTACACAAGTGTCTATCAGGAATGGTGTGTGTATAGGTGAACCAGCTTTGGAGCAACAAAATAGACTAGATCTGGGGTGGCCAATCTGTGGCAAATGAACCACAAATGGCATGGGCAGCCTTTGTGTGGGGCATGTGGCAGACTGGTGAAGGGACAGACAGTATACTGGCAGCAAGCAAAAAGAAAAGCAGCAAATTGAACAGGGAGCACAAAGAAAGAAGAAGAAAGCAGAGCCACAGATTAGGCAGAGGAAGGGTATCAGAATGGCACTAGGGGAAAGGGTGGAGTTAACTTGTGGCATACCTGCCAAAAAGGTTGGCCCCCCCGGACTAGATGACCACTCAAGGGGCGTGTCTACACGTGGAATTGTGGTACATGAATAATTGCTCCTGGTGTGCTGTTTGAACATGCACCCTGGAGCAATAAACTCTGGAGCAATAAGCTCAACAGTTTATTCATGAGCAGCATGTTGAGCCAGGACAGAGCAGATGGCAGGAGGCTTGTGGGTCAGCCTGCCAGCTTGGGCATGTTCCCCGCAACTCAGTGTGCTGCAAGCAAGCTGGCTGGGGTACAAGGGTACTTCAGCATGGGGCTAGCCCGCAGGCAGCCCCTGCCTTGAAGCAGCTTTGTACCCCAGCTAGCCCCTCCAGCGTCTACGTGTGTACTGCTGTGGAGTTTTTTACTCCGTAGCAGGATAGTACTTGTATTTACAAGTGCAGTAGATGCTGAGATTTTTACTGCACAGTGAATTAGTCAATTGCACAGCAGACATCTTATAGATGCACCCAAGGTATCTTGTATCGCTGTTTTCTATGATTCCACTAAAGATGCTAACACCATCCTGGGATTGATTGAAGTCTTCGATTTGGGCATATTTATAATCTTGGTTCTGCTGCGAATGGGGAGTAGGTCAAACCACAGAGGTGCTGTTCAGTTGGGAAAGCAACTCTGGAAAATGTTCTCACAAACTCACATGTACATCTGCTGGCAATTCCTGCCTCTACAAACATCCATTAGACTTCCAGGCTGGTAAGGAAAAGTAAGCAACTCCAGGTACTTGAGGAAAGGACCCCAGAAGAGCTCCCAGCATACTCTAATCCACAAGAAATGAATCTGTAAACTACAATCCCTTGTATATCAAAGCAGCTCTGGGCAGGATAAGCTTCTGCTGTGTACTCTGCAGCTCCCATTGGAGGTGAAGATTCACCAAGGTGCATGCAACTGTACAGAAGACAAGAGTAGTAAACCAACAAAGCCTACCATGCTGTGATTGCTGCATGGAGCACATGGAGCAATGCAGAGGGAGAGATTTCTCAGAAAGTGCCTGAGATCTGCAAAGATCCCAGTGTATACTGACAATGGCCTAACAATGACTTTCAAAGACAACCCTTTCCCTCCATCTACCCACTCTGTATCTCCATGTACCCCTGCTGCTCACCAAGGAGCAGATATTTAATTGACTTCCAGAATGGTCAGCAGTCTCCAGAATCTCCAGCCGTCCAAGTCAACATGACTTTGCTTTAACATGATTTATTATTTATATCCATGGCTATATTTCCTACTGAGTTGATCATTGGGCCAAGATGGTCTTCAGTTGCCAAATTCTAGTACAAGGGCCATATGAATTTTTTAAAAATATTTTAATCTATTTTTCCTACACTGAAGTAGCCAAATTAAATAAATATCAAGCTACATTTTTGATGTGTATAACAAGATTTGGTCCATCATTTCAAAAACAACTTTGTTATACCACAAACACATTATATACATAAAAATGGTAGATAGACAGACAGACAAGCAGACACCACAAATGCCAAAGCATACTCCTTACTAATATTTCACTGAAGCAAGAATATGGAATGGGACTGGCTCTTTATTTCTTGTCCTACTCTCCCCCAAAATAACTTATTTGTGAAAGTACAGAGTTATTTCTGATATAACTTAAGTTATCTAGGACCCAAACTGAACATCAGAAAATATGCTGCCAAACCCACTCTATGTATTTTAACCCTTTCACCTCTCCAGTTCTGTGTGCATGTGTGTGTGTTTGCATATGTGTGTTTAAATTCTGTGCATATTTTTTCCATGTCAACAACTATGACCACAGGATTGCATTAAAATACCAGATAATTTTTAGCACCAGCTCAGCATGGCTACATGCCATAATCTCCATATGGCATGAAGTTCTTCTAATAGTCTTCAGTGTTTCACCCACCGGGGAAAAATTGTAATAAATATAAACTTTCATGTCTTTCCATTGACCAAACCTACAGGGTAATTTAACATAAAAATGTTGGGATATTAATAAATAGAGGTGGAGATATGTGGGGGAGAGTTATTTCATTTTTTTGTGTGCTGGAAAAAATATTTATGCCACATGCCAGGTTCTGTATAGCTGTTAGAAAAGGTGTGTGATAGGGCTACCCAGAACACATTCTAATTATCACAGATGACTTAGGATAAGACTAATTAGTGTTCTTATAATATCTTTTGGCACTCTTGGGTACGAGTTTACATGAGCAGGCTATACAAAAGGACATTTGTCCATTTAAGTTGTTACTCACATGCTAAACGGCTTGCAGGCTCACAAACATTATTTGTTGTCTACAGATACGATTTGCATAGCTAGTAAAACCTTGAGCCTGTGAAACATTTGCACATGTGAGTAACTTTACACACGGGAGTAGTTCTGAGTTGAGTAAAAAACATGAAGATAAGCATATATCTAAGCGCTTGCAGGATTGAGATCTAAATTGGTCGGCATAACTTCATCTTATGTGAGAGGCACATAGTTCTGATGGCAATAACATTGTTTAACACGGTATTTAAAAATAGTTTACCTTTGCATTCGTGACATTCTGTGCAGCTCCATATCATCACTGCCTCGAAAGCCTTTAGCAAAAGGATTGTTTTCAATCTTTAGCTGGGTGATCTGAAGGAAGGAACCACAAACAATTTACTGTGAGTGTGTTAATTCTACTACAGAGTTACAAAGACCTCTCCCAAGAACCCCTGTCATGGTTAGGGTTTATCCTGAAACACTTTTAAGTGAGACAGTGCTTCCAAATTGTTGTCCCCTGACCAATGGTGGTCTGTACTGACACTCCAACACACATACACACACACACACACGGTACATCTACACAAGATGCTTACTGCATGGTAGCCTAGTAATAGTGCACAGTAGTGTGCTGGTCAAAAGCCATGCTAATAAGCCACTGTGCAGTGTTATTAGGCTACTGCACAGTAACCATCACAAAAAAATGTGTGCTGGCACTACTGCGCAGTAAATGTAGTTACTGTGCATTCAGTTAGTACTTCATTAAGGAAGTACTAAATTAAATGCGCAGTAACTATGGTGCATTAATGAATGCATAGACGCACCCAGTGCTCAATTATAGATTTGAAGATAAGGTTGCATGGTAATCCACAAGAAATGTTGATGATTAACAGCAGTCCAATAGTTCAAAACATTTAGTATTCACTGGTCTGCATAAAGCTCTTACACATCAGCAAGTGCTTACCAAACTGAGATCTTCATGACAATGGCTTTTTTTCTTTGACAAAAGTTACTGTTATTATGGCTGATCAGGTACCACTGAGCTCAATGGAAATGTTTTCCTTTATTTCATTTAACAATTTCCTACCATGCCTTCCCTCCAAGACTCTTACAGTGCTTTGTGTGGATGGGTAATATTAATCCCATTTGATAAGTGGGTGAGTTCAAACACAAAAAACAAAGAGTTGCTTAAAAGGACACACACTGTCAACAGCAGAGGACAGAACCCAGGCTTCCTATCTTAACTAAACCAAGCTGTCCCTAAAGTGCAGAACCTCATTGAACTGGGTAATTACTTAGACCCTGAGCTCAAATTCACAAAAGACTTCAAATTTGGGCAACTAGCACAACTAGCATAGGACTTTAGCTTCTTCAGTCCACAATTGTGATCCAAAAGCCCCCCACTAACCTGCCACCTATCCCTGGAGGTGTCTAAACTCAAGTCCCGCCCCATTTGACTTTAAAGCCCCCATATGTACAGAGCTTTTGTACATTCCCAGCACTGCTCTATGACCAACTCACATCAAGACCACACAACACTGCAGAAAGCAGATGGTCCTCAACCCAGTTCCCCTGAAGGATTATGTCTGGTAGACATTCTCAGAGTATGCCTAATGTACGCAGACAGCACAAAGCTTCTTTTAATGCAGCTAGAGGGGGTAGTAGTTCCACCCCCACATCCTTTTCTATGACAGCCTAGGAGCTAGAGCACTTATCCAGAAAATGGGAGACTTGAGTTCAATTGCCGCATCTAACATAGGGGATCCAAAGCCACATTGTTGATAAGAGTACCCTACCCACCAAGCCACTGGGTATTCTGGACTACTGGGTATTCTCCATTGTTCTTGTTGAATTTGTAATACCGCATAGAAAAAAATGCAAGAGTCACTGAGCTAATGTAAGAAGGAGAGCATGTGCAAGAGGGAGTATGACTATTGAGTACAGTCGTGCCCAACCTTCCAACCCCATGGGCTAAATGAATGGTGTGGGCTTGATCCACAGGCTGGATCCCACATGCTTGGATTTGGCTGCAGAGTGACTCCATGTGACTTCACTCTGGCTCCAGAGTGACCCAATCTAGCACACAGTACCACATTATCCAGATCATGGGGCTCCTCACAGGTCCAGAAGTTTAGCAGCTGTTTGGTTATTTGCACTTCCACTGCTCCCCCACCATCAAACTTCCAAGCCCATGGGCAAAATGACATGGCTTCGTGGGGCAGTGGTTGAGCACCACTGCTTTAGCATTTAATTACTGGACAGCTTAGGCAGCTACCCACTTTCTGTGCTGTTTCTTGTGCATCCCATCCTTAAATCTCCCCATGCATTGTGTAGGAACCCTAAGAGCCTAACTCAGAGCCATGAATTTCACTACAGGAGGTAAGTGCCTAGAAGCTAATGCACTGTGATACTCAGTGTTGCAGCACCTACATCTCTTGTGGACATGGGGCTGACCCTTCATCTGCACTTGCCTTCCTTCCTGCATCTGAGTAGACCCCTTGAGCTTGCTGGGACTAGCCATCTACATAGAGTTAAGCATATGTGCAGTTTTGCAGGATTAGGGCCTCTGCTAGTATCCATGAAAGAAATATTGGCTCCATCCACAACAATAGCAACACTCCCATTGACTGTAGCAGGGTCAGGAATTCACTCTTTCAGTTTTCTATGGCATTTCTTCTAGTCATCAAAAGTAAGACATTCCTTGAGTCCATTTGCTTACATTATTAATTTTCCCTGAATAGGGCCCTGATCTTTGCACTGGAACCCAGTCACAGAGGCTGCTGCAGCCCTGCTCATTCTTATTAAGTCAAGGTTTAACTTACTACCCTGACACAGCATCATTTTGTCTCACATTTCAGATTGCAAAGAAAAATGTAAACACCCCGTTTGGTCTAGTTTGTTTTTTGAGCTATTGCTCAGCAGTAAGACAGGGAAAAAATTTACAATCAGAATATATTAGTATTAAAGTGATGTGTTTTGAGGAGCGGAAAATCACTTGACAATTTCTACTTGGAAAGTAGTGGCAGTTATGTAATATATAAGGCCTACTACTTGATGTCCCTAAAGTTTATTTTCATTAGCTGCAGCTGGCTATGGCTCACCAGTGTGAAAAGTGCTTACTTACTGAACTCTGCTTGCATGAGTACAGTCCTCTAGTCAGCAAGGTATTTGGACCAACTCATGCTCACTACTGTTTCATTCATTCACTTTCTATCACTCGCTCACACCCACCCACTGAGCCTTTACCCTACAAACATTTAAGCATGTAAAAGCCTTCAAAGGGAATGTTCACCTGAGCAGGGGTATCAATATGTGTGTTAGCAGGATCAAGCCTTGATAGAAACTAAGCTCCTGGGATCCTCTTTCTTTAATGTGTTTTAAGGGCCTGAGCTGAAACATGCTGAAGTCAATGAAAGTCTCTTGATCAGTTTCAGTAAGCTTTGCAGCAGGCCTTAGTGCTTTAGTGTGGTTCAGATGTACTGGACTGGAAGCATCTTGAGAAATGATGATAATAGTTTTGTGGCTGGTTGTTTTGTTTAACTTGCAAAACCTTTTAAAGGATGAAAGCAAGCAAACAGATGGGAACTTCCTTCTTCTTTATCCATTTTGCCATAATGAAATTCAGTCTAATTGACTATAAATCATTTAGACAGGGAAGGGGTAGAAGATTCTACTAGAAAGTTATGTGACAATTACATCATTAAAAAAATATGACTCCCTTGAAAAATCCCCAGAGTTGTTTCTCTACAGTAGAGATGGAATAAAAACATAGAGCTTTAATATTACTTATTTTATAGCTGAAGGAAATCAATGCCCATGTTTGCATTTACAAACAGATTTCCAAACCTGAGAGAGAAGCCTTCTTTGTACAGAAGTTGTTTTTTTTCAAAAGTAAATTTAAATCAACACAAACACACCTGACAAATTTCTGAGTCTGTCACCCGACCTCTTCGTTCTAAGTGAACAGGTCTCTTGTAGACTTGTATTCCAACCAACTGGGAACAAAGTATTTCTGAACACAAGTTCCAAAGGCTGCAGGTGAATATTTGTATGTGTTTGTGAGAGTGAGTGAATAAGCAAATATCATTTTAGAACTAGGTATGTATTGTAGAGTCATTTTAATACTATGTATGTGTGTGTCCACACACACACATTGTTTAAAAACTTTAGATGTTTGAAGCCAGCCAGAACAGCGAAGTATTTATACACATACCTTTTTATATTTAAAGGATCATAGGAAAATAGGGCTGGAACAGACTTCATGGAATCATGTAGTCTATCTAGTCCCCTGCTGAAGGCAGGATCAGCCCAATCAAATATTTGTCTAACCTGCTCTTGAAAATTTCCAGGGATGGGAAGTCCATAATCCCCCTAGGTAGCCTACCACCCTCATAGGCAGAAAGTTCTTCCTAATCTCCAAACCTAAATTTCCTCTGCTGCAGTTTGAAGCCATTGCTCCTAACCCTGTCCCCAGTAGCCACTCATTTTTATGTGTTTTATTTTATGTCTATTGTAGGTGGGGCAGGTGTTATCATGTGTTATTAAGTTTTCTGAACACTTCCAATAATATGATCCTATTTATATTTGGTTGTAACTTTGCTAAACTCTGATTGTTTGTGCTGAAGTTTTCCATGCAAGGTGTCTGCTTCAGGTGGAGATTTCTGAGAATAAATCTAGGGAAAGCTGCAATACTTTTGCCCACGATAAAATTATGGAGGTCTTTTAAGAAAGGTTTTCATTCCCCATTGTTTGGAAAAGGTGATAGGATAGCTTTTGTATCAGGCACCTGTTTTTAGCTATCTTGGGAAAATATAGCTAAATTTGGCAGTTATATGAGTTTGAAACAAATGTAGTTTGCACCTGCTCAGTAAAGATTTCTTCAAATTTATCAGTTAAAGCTTCTAAAGATAAAATCTTCACTGAGCACACTTGAGCCTTTCCAATTGCTAGTGCTGTTAGCATCTTTCTCATAATGCATCTGAGAATGTTCCACCCAAGGCTACAGAGGAAAACTAATACTTTCCCTATAAACTGTTGCTCCTATGGGCTATGGTGAGCTTAGGCACTACAGACCTGTGTGGAGAAAGAAGGCCAAAAACAAATCCAGAGAGAAGGAAAGTAGATTAGGATGAGGAATTTGGTGACTCACTGAGCAAGAAGACTGGGATATGGGAACAGGGAGGAAGGAGATGTTGGAACTAAACCATTGAGTGAAGTTGGGGAGCTGGGAGCTGAGGATGTTGTCACTATACAGGACCTGAAAGGTAGGGAGGGAAGCTTGGGGCTCTCTGGACAGAAACAAGGAACAAAAATTGTTGGAAAGGGAGACAGATGTGACAAGAAGTCAGGTTGCAGGAGAGAAGTGGGACTGGCTGGAAATGGGAAAAGAGACTGGTAAAGGAGCCAGGGGGACAGAGTGGGAGGGTAAGGGAAGAAGAAGACTTGAAAAAGGAGCTGGGGGCAACAAATTATTGTGCCCAATGACAGAGGTCTGTGTAGTGGATCTAGAAGTGGTACCTCCATGATTTTTTCCCACAGGACCCATGCCTTAAGGAAGAGCACAGGATAGACTTGCTCTGGAAATAAACCATAATGAAAAAAAAATGCCTATGGAACCCTTGGATTCTACAGTGTAGAAGTCAGAGAACGTGCAGTGACTGCAGGAAGAGAAAGAACAGCCTCACATTTAAGGCAGGACAATACTGCCCTAGAAAATTGCATTTTATCCCTTCCTCTGCTAGAGTTCCCATGAGATACTTGGCAAGTGATGTCAACTATATTTTTCCTGGCTAGTCAGTAACCACATGTTCCTCATTGTTTGGGTACCCAAGTGGATACATTTGCAGAAATTCAGGGGACTCACTGATGAATCTAAAGTCAGTGGGAGCTATGATTTATTCACTGAGTATGATATAATGTTCTAGAAAACAGCACTCTGAAAAATCAGCTCCCTGGCATATCAGATGGGCATCCAAGATCATAATACAATTTTGAGGGGCTTTCTATGCTGCAGCTCCCAAACAATAAAATAAAGATATACACTATCTTTAGAGCAGGGCTTGAATGTGATGTGGTAATAAAGCATGGGGTCACATACAGAACAAGGAGGAGAAAACAGTATATTGAGTAGCTGTTCATAAACTAAGCACTGTCCATCAAAAACAATGCATAGGTTGGGGCTACAATGGAAAAATAGTATGATCAAATAATTAAAGACTGTGTCAAGATTCATAAGCACAATGGAGATGATGGAAAGTCATAAAGGCACCCTAACTTGAGTGTGCTTGACTTTGCAACCTGAATAGGATTCTTTTAATAGTGTTTTGTGACTGTGTGAGAGACATATACAGGGGTGTAGGTTTTAGCCGTGTTGGTGAGACATATACAGTCACTAATCATGTAACTTGTTTCTGCATTTATCTGCAATGTATGTAATACATGTGAGTACATATATTGTGTGTGGCTGGATATTATTCCATTTCTATCTATCTATAAACTCCAGTGTGTGTACAATATTCTAGCTAGGGCTGTACTTTGAAAGGCTTGAGCAATCAAGAAAGTTAAATAACTTTCAAAAATAAGCATAAAACCGGATATCCTTGGGGGCGGGGGACCAATATAAAGCCTGGGTAGAGCTAAGGGAGCAGTAGGTTGTAAAAATTAATGAGAATAATTGTTGTGAATTCTTGCTTTTGAAAGCACCCTCATGAGGGCAGAACCTTAATTATTTCTGTCTATTAGGGTTCATTTCCTGGTCCTAGGCACAGAGCTAGTACCTAATAAATATGAGCTAGAAACACACAATGATTTAAACTGAAGCAAAATGCAAGAGAAGTTAATATTTGGGCATCAACCTGATTGCATGCATCCATTGTGTAAACGGCAAGGAAATGAAATGTGCATGTGACCTATTTTAACACCTAAATATTTCTTGGAGATTTTTTTTATCTCCTCTGAGTCATTGACAACTGCACTGAAAATTTTACAAAAACCTTCCTCATAGCTTAACCCATGCTTTGGGGGTGAAGATAGTTTGTTTAAATATCTTTTTCAGTCCTCCTAAAATATCAGGGGAAATAAGCACAAAATCCGACAGTGGGATTGCAGCTGTGCTCTTGAAATAAATCCACTGATCTGATATCAGGCAAGTCCTTCTATAGGCAATAAGCGCAAAGACTGGAAAAAATATGAGAGTGCCCATGGGGCCATGTTTATGAAACATGCATAAATATAACTGTGAGTATACATATATATGTAAACTAGTATGGAATTTGTATGTATACTGTCTAGGTAGGAAGATTAGCTATATCAGACTATGTTAACAAATGCAAATATTAACAAATATAGTGTTATTAAAAGATATTCTGATCAGTCAGTCAACTTCAGTCCTTTTGTGAAAAAAACATATGTACATTTATACATATCCTTGCCTTTCCTTTTCACAATAATCAAAATGTTGTGTAAAACTCTCTCTCTCTCTGTCTGTCTCACACACACATACACAGCATAAGAATATCAGAATTTCAGAACGTCAGCTATATGTGGTCTTGAATACTGGTTTTTACTTTGAAACAGCATTCGGGCAATTTGTAGACTTTGTTCTCTTTTCTGGAGGGAGATGCCATTCAGGGTAGATCATTCCATGATTTTTTTTTTTATATATTCCTCAATGATTCTTTATTTTGGGTTCAGAACTATAGCAGTTCCCTTAATTGTTGGATTTGGGCAGCTAAAAAAGAAGTGTGTATGTGTATGTGTGGTTGTGGGTGGGTATGTAAAGTATGTGGGTATGGGGATATGCACTTTAGGTGTGGGTGGGTATATGTAAAACTGCATAGGATGTGTGTGTCTTTTGTGACTTGTGTGTACATTTTGACAGACAGATATGTAGGTATCTATTCTTATCAGACAGGCAGAGGTGATTTATAATGAAATATGTCCATTCCCGCTAATGTGGAGTATTTGTTTTTTATGACATGGGGAGGAAGAAGGAGGCTATTTGTTTACAAAACAGTCCTAGTTTCTACAAGGAAAGCAATTAAATCCAAGGACCTAGAAGGCTAAGTCTGTTTACTTATAGGCAATGCGTTTAAAGTGGTTGGCTTGTCCTTTTTTATTATACTAATATTATTTTCTGCAGCATCCAGAGCAGAGTTATAATTTATGGCATAGGTTGGCCCAGACTCAAATTCTGTTTGTTTGCAATTATGTCCTACCACTGCCAACAGCTCCTCTTCTAAAGGATGTGGAGGTATATTACTTTTTTTTCTCCCCCCTTATAGCAGATTGCCTCTTCTCAAGGCTATCTCTGTTGCTGGCACCTAATTAGTTAATTAATAGACCGATGAGACTGAATAAAGGGGAAAATGGCAAAGTTTTTTCTGGCACTTCCTAACCACAGCTCCAGGAAAGCATCTATAATTTAGCCAGAGTATTAATGTGACACTTTCTTGGTTTGAGATTAACCACATGATTTCACTTGTTAAACACAATGAAATCATTCTACACATCCCGAAGTTGTAATTAAAAGTCCTAAACCTGATTTATAAACAGTTTGTGGAGGCGTATTGTTAAAGGAATGCAATTTTTCCGTAAAATGACCTTTGCACTTTAGAAATACTCTGTTTGCCTCTATGTTAATACACGCTCTTTTCTGCTCCATGTATATATTTGCATTCATAATTAAAGATGATCTGGCGAAAGCTTTTGCCTGTAAGTGAACTTGTAGTACATCGATCCCACCAAAAAATCATCCCCTCAAAGATATGTTTCCCTCTCCTCTGCCTTTCACCCTTTACACCCGATTTCCCATTCTTCTCACTCCCGTAACACTGTGCTACTACGAGAAAAATGCATGCTATTTGCTACCCCTGTCCCTGGAAAGTATCCTTACGGGTTAGAAACAGGATCACATGCGCTTAAGAAAGAAAACTCACAGCTGTTCTAGCTGAGATCTATCTTGTATTGGAAAAGCGACTGCCAGTGTCTGACTCCCAGGTGTCGTTGCCTACCAGCCAAGCAAGGCCATGCGGATGATGCGCTCGGCATCTCGGTATCAGGCTGTCTGTCTCTATGGGGAATGCGGAACAGGCTGGTGCGGGTGTGCTTATACCTGTGTGTACGCATACGTGCAAATGCACACACGTGTATATGTGCGCCTCATACACACACCCGCACATATAAATCACTCACCCCCCACCCCTATCCCACCCTCAGCTGTGGCTTCCTTGTGCACAAAACCTCTGAATTATTGTTTCACCCCGCGACCACCGCAGCCCCCAGCGGAGCAGACTGCTGGGAGGAGCTGTCAGCAGGGAGCCCTTCTCCAAACAACCCCGCTGCACCGAGCCAGACTGGGTTATCAGAGACTAGCTGCAAAGGGGAGCGCAGGGGCTCCCAGCTCCAGGGCCAGATTACAAGCCTTTGACTGATGAGGGGGAAGAAGATAACACCCAACTTCCTTGCTTGGTCGTCTCCTTTCTGAGCAAACCATCCTGTTTAGTTAATTCCCCCTTGGCTTCCCTTGCATCCCAACGCGAGATACTTCTATCTGCTCCACGGCCAACAACAACAACACCAAGGGAACAAAACGGAGCACATCTCGGAGTGTCCGGGCGGAGTTGAGGGGGGGGGAGACAGGGAAAGAAAGGATGGATGGAGAAAAAGAAGGAGGACAGAAGGGAGGAGGGGAGAAATGAATGAATAAATGAAGGGGGAAGGAGGGAAGTGTGATTCTAGAGAAGGAAGAAAGAAAAACCAGGAAGGAGAGATGTGTGAAGAAAAGCAAGCAAGAAAGCTAGATGCGTGGGTCTAGGAAAAAGAGAAGGAAGGAAGTGTGGTTCCCGGGGGGGCAGAAGGAAGGCGCGGGCAGGCGGGGAGGAGCCCGGGGCCGGGGCACAGGCCGGGGCACGAGGCGCCTCCCGGGGCAGGCCCTACCTTGTGATTCTGGTAGGAGGTCACGGCGATGAAGGCGGTCTCGGGGAAGACGTGGGTGCAGAAGGCCGTGTTTTTGGAGCCGAACCCGTTGTTCTCGTCCGCCTTCACGATGTGGAGCCGGGGCTGGTATTTGTGCATGGAGTTCAGGATGATCTTGAAGAGAAGCAGACACACGGCGGGGTCAGGCATGGAGCCCCGCTGCTGCACGCTCCCCTGCAGGCCTGGGGGGGGGGGGGTTCCTTCACCAAGCCCCCGTATGC